CAGAAATAAACCCACATGTATACTATCAACTAACATTTTACAAGGGGGCCGCAAATACTCAATGGAGGAAAGAATAGTCTCTTCAATAAACGGTTCTGGGAAAACTAGATATTCACATACTAAAGAATGAAACAGAATCCCTATCTTACACTACTCACAAAAGTTGACTCAGAATGGACTAAAGACTTAAATGTAAGACCTGAAACCACAAAATTCCTAAAAGGATACTTAGGGAAAAAGTTTCTTGACATTGTCTTGGCAAGGATTTTTTTTGATCTGCACCAAAATCACAAGCAAGTAAAGCAAAAAGAAACAAGTGAGACTACATCAAACTTTAAAAGCTTCTACACAGCCAAACAAATGATCAACAAAACAAAAAGGCAACCTAAGAAATGGGAGAAAATATTTGCCATCCATATATCTGATAGAGGGTTAATATCAAAAACATGTAAAGAACTCATATAACTCAACAGAAAAAAACTTCTGATTAAAAATAAGCATAGGAATTGAATAGAATTTTTCCAAAGAAGACATACAAATGGCCAACAGGTACATGAAAAGGTGCTCAACATCACGAATTATCAGGGAAATCAAAATCAAAACCACAGTGAGATATCACCTCACACCAGTTAGAATGGCTATCATCAAAACGTCAAAAGATAACAAGTGTTGGCAAGGATGAGGAGAAAATGGAACCCTTGTGCGCTGTTGGTGGAAATGTAAATTGGTATAACAACTATGGAAAACAGCATGGAGATTCCTCAAAAAATTAAAAATAGAATTATCATATGACCCAGTAATCCTACTTCTGAGTCCATGTCTGAAGAAAATGAACACAGGATCTTGAAGAGATTTTGGCACTCCTATGTTTATTAGCATTATTAGCATTATTAATGGTATTTATTAGCATTATTCACAATAGCCAAGATATGAAAACAACCTTTGTGTTCATCAGCAGATTATGGATGAAGAAGATGTGATATATATACATACACACACACACACACACACGCACACATATATATATATATATACACAATGGAATATTATTCAGCCATGAAAAAGAACAAAATCCTGTCATTTGTTTCAACATGGATTCAACATTGAGGGCATTATGCTAAGTGAAATAAGTCAGATAGAAAAAGACAAATACTGCATCATATCACTTATAGATGGAATCTAAAACAGCTAAAATGTAGAAACAGAGATTAGAAGAGTGGTCACCAGGGCCGTGGGACTGGGGGAAATGGGGAGATGTTGGTCAAAGAGTACAAACTTCCAGTTGGAAGATATACAAATTCTGGGGATCTAATGCACAACGTGGTCATTCTAGTTAACACCTCTGTATTGTACACTTGAAATTTTCTAAGAGAGTAGATCTTAAATGTTCTCCAAAGAAATGGTAATTATGTGACCTAATGGAGGTGTTAGCAAATATGTGAGTGTATCAAATCAACACACATACACCTTAAACTTACACAATGTTATATATCAACTATATCTCAATAAAGCTGGGAGTGAAAAAAGAAATATTAAGTGTAGATCACACAATTTCAAGAAGGATGATTTTTTATTTTTATTTTTTTTGTGAGGAAGATCAGCCCTGAGCTAACATCCATGCCAATCCTCCTCTTTTTGCTGAGGAAGACTGGCCCTGGGCTATCATCTGTGCCCATCTTCCACCACTTTATGTGGGATAGCGCCACAGCATGGCCTGACAAGCGGTGCGTCGGTGTGCACCCCGGATCTGAACCCAGGCTGCCAGCAGTGGAATGTGCACAGTTAACCGCTACAGGCCACAGGGCCAGCCCCATTGTTGATTTTTTAAAAAATCTTGGCTATGTAGGTGTAGTTACAGCTACAGCATAGGGAAAATATGTACTTCAGAGGAAAACTATGAATTGTCTATAGCTCACCCCCCTGCTCTATATATAGGAGTGATTTTGGATTCTATGGGAGTTATTTTGCAACTTTTTAAGTTATCAATAACTGATAGCAAAGCAAAATAATTCCTCTATATAGATATACAAATTCTGTCCTGTCCAGTAGAGCTTCAATTGACTTTTCTAGGTAGTTTTTCCTTCGTTTGCACATTCACATCAACATTCTTTTACTTTAAATAGGATTGTACTTTTTGACCCTTCTCCTTTGAACTAGTTGTAACACCTTACTGATTTCCTCATTAATGAATTAAACAATATCTTTAACTTGTGGGCATTTAAAAAAAAGAAGGCATACAAATCGTCAACACGTATGTGAAAAGATGCTCAACATCACTAATTATTAGGAAATGAGATTCAAAAGCAATGAGGTATCATCTCACAGTTGTTAAGATGGCCATTATCAAAAAAAAAAAGAAAAGAAAAGAAAAGAAAAGAAGTGTTGGTGAGGGTGTGGGGAAATTGAACCCTTGTAAGTAGTTGGTAGGATGTAAAATAGTGCAATTCTGTGGAAAATGGTATGGCGTTTCCTCAAAAAATTAAAAATCAAATTGCTATGTGACCTAGCAATCCAACTTCTGGGTATTTATACAAAAGAACTGAAATCAGGATCTCAAAGAGATGTTTGCACTCCCACATTCATCGTAACATTATTCACAATAGCCAAGAAGTTGAAGCAACCTAAATGTCCATCAGTGATGAATGGATGGACAAAATGTGGCAAATACATACTCTGGAATATTATTCAGCCATAAAAAATGAAAGAAATTTTGGCATACGCTGTAACATGGATGAACCTTGAAGACATTGTGCTAAGTGAAATAAGCCGATCACAGAAGGACTAATAATGCATAATTCCATTTATATGAAGTGTCTAAAGTAGTCGGCCTCATAGAAACAGAAAGTAGAATGCCGATTGCCAGAGCCTGGGGGAAGAGGAAACAGAGAGTCACAGTTCAATGGGTATAGAGTATTAGTCATGTGAAATGAAAAGTTCTAGAGACCTGTTGTACACAGTGTGATTATAGTTAACAATATTGAACACAATTTTTTAAGAGAGTAGATTTCACATTATGTCTTTTTACTACAATTCTTTTAAAAGTATTGGGAAGAAATGGTAGGGCATGGAATATAAGGAAATATGTGTAGTTAGTGGCATCTATACCATGCTACTTGAAATGCTCCAAGGAGCTAAACTTTAAAACAACTTTTGTTTTAGCTAGATTGGGAGAGGGTAATTTGGGAAGCCTTGGGGATTTATTTGTGTGTATGGAATTCACAAATAAAAACTGATTTTCAATCTTTCCTTTCACTTCATATGGAAGAAAGAGTTAAAAAACAGAGTAGTTTGCAATCCAAGCTGAAAATCAAAATCATCGTGACAGGTACTTTACAGGTCATTACACCTGGCAGTGGGAGGTAAATAATTACTGTGCCATGAATTTGTTACCAAAATCCAATAAAGATGGAGCAAAATTTAGTAAACTGAAAACATAGCCAAATTCCACTAAGAGAAGACAGGGTAAGTAGTTATTGATAGTGGTTGAAATCTAGTTAAATAAGACATATTGTAGCTTGGTATTTGTGTATTTTGAAGAATAACAGTGTAGCACATATTTATTCAAAACATATAAATCAATAGAATGAGTATTGAATAACAAGAAATAATTAATGCTGACATTTTAAAAATAGTACTATCTTTACAGAGAAATCATAATTGATGAGAACTGCATGAACATGTGTGTAAGCACTTAAAACCATAGATGGCATATGAAAAGATGTTCAACATCACTAATCATTAGGGAAATGCAAGTCAAAACAACACTAAGATATCACCTCACACTCGTTAGAATGGCTATAATCACCAAGACAAAAAATAACAAATGTTGGAGAGGATGTGGAGAAACGGGAACCCTCATACACAGCTGGTGGGAATGCAAACTGGTGCAGCCTCTATGGAAAACAGTATGGAGATTCCTCAAAAAATTAAAAATAGAAATACCCTATGATCCAGCTATCCCACTACTGGGACTATATCCAACAATCCTGAATTCTACAATCCAAAGAGGTTTATGCACCCCTATGTTCATTGCAGCATTATTCACTATAGCCAAGAAGTGGAAGCAACCCAAGTGTCCCTCAACTGATGATTGGATCCAGAAGATGTGGTATAGATATACAATGGAATACTACTCAGCCATGAAAAAAGACAAAATCATCCCATTTGCAACAACATGGATAGACCTGGAGGGTATTTTCTTAAGTGAAATAAGCCAAAAAGAGAAAGACAAACATGATATGATCTCACTTGTATGTGGAATATAAACCAACACATGGACAGAGAAAACTGTATTGTGGTTACCAGGGGCAATGGGGGTTGGGGATGGGCACAAAGGGTGAAGGGAGACACGTATATGGTGATTGACAAACAAAAATGTACAACCAAAATTTCACAATGTTATAAACTATTAAGACATCAATTAAAAAAAAATCATAGATGGCATTATCATTGGCCAGAAATGTAGGCATGGACCCTGGAAGAAACAGTCAGATATGTCTGTGAGGCTGACCGTTTAAATATAGTCCAATTAAGTCAAAGTACTCATCACTTGTTTCACGCTCCATAAGAGTGTGATGAGGTCATTCCCACCAATTTCACTTGACAAGTGTTCCCTGATGAAATCCTCTGGAATAGGTCAACTACATTCACGCTATAGGAAAAACATTGTTCTCTAACTCTTTCAGAAAATGACTCAAAACTATTCTTATGATTTCTGATTTGAAGACAAACAAAGTTCAGGAAAGCCTAGGGTTAAATAACTGTTTATACCCACACTGTATGGACAATCATGGGTGTACACACCCAACAAGCACAGTATACACAACAATAGATACAGAAGCTCCCTTGATTCTCTACTTCAAATTCTTCCTCCTGCACATGTGGGCTGCTAGCCACTACCCACAATGAAAGATTTGGCCATCCCTGAAATGTTTCCAAGGACATCATTAGAAAGGAGAACAGCCTGTCAAGGTCAGAGTTACAGAGTATAGAATCACTACCATTGGTTTTTCTCAACTCCTCCACAAGGCAGCGGGCTTCCTCTTGAACTCGGTCCTCAATGCTCCTCTTCCCCATCCCGAAATTCCGCAGGGTCATGAGGGAGAAGCGCCGGATTTCCTTCCACCTCTTTCCATTGCTGAAAATGATTCCTACCGGGAGGGGAAACAGAAACTGAGAAGGAGGTCCTAGGTAAGTAAGAAGCAGCTGACACTTGGCAGCCTTGCAGCTGGGCCAAGCTCTGCTAAGGGGCTCTCCAAATTCCTGTTTTCCATCCTCCCCACCCCCATTACCAATGCAGAGCATGCACACCTGCACACCTACCAAGTCCTTTATTAGCTCTTTCAGCCGCTGGGAAACTGCCTCTTCCAGAAAACTCCTCCCCCAAATCAATCAGGGCTTCCTTCACTGCTTCATATCCATGCAGCACCACAGTGGGCTTCAAGCCCAAATACAGAGTGAACACAGGGCCATAGACTTTTGAGAGCTGGGAAAGGAGATGAAAATAATAGCAAAAGAAGTCACTATTTGATACCATATTGTGCCTAATTCAGAATGATATTATCATCCTATTTTTACATTTTTATTCTGCTACACACAGCGTAAAGTATTTCTGAATTTAATAGGTGTATATGAGGGTGATTTTTATAGCTGTCATTGATGAATGGCCTGCGATGTGCCAGGCAATGGCCTGAGTAATTGGTACCCAGATTACAATTAATCCTCATATCAGCAGCTTCAGTAGATTTATTTGCTCCACTTATGAATAATAAAACTGAGGTCAGAGAATTCCAATTCATTCCAACATCCCATGGCTACTATATTAAAGATCCAAATTTGAACCTCTTCTTATTTGACCTCTGATCCTTCAGCAATATATCAATCCTCAATGTTCACCTTTGGACCAATACCCAGCTGACTGCTTCAGGGTCACCTGTAGAGCTCTTCCCATGGGGATTCTGATTCAGTAGCCCCGCAATGAATACTAGAAATCTATATTTTGAGAAATTATTCAACTAATTCTAATGCCCAGCGCTGTTTGTGATCTACTGGTATGACTAACACAGAAAGAGAGTGAGCACCACAGAGGTAGTGCCAGGACAGGAAGCATCTCATGGAAGACCTATTTCTCCCACTATGAAGCATTCGTATGGTACAGACAGCAGCTTTATGCAGAATCCAGATGAATGCTGTTACTACCATTAGGCCCTGACTAATTACTTCTTTCATTCACTCATGCTGGTGCTGAACCCAGAGACATTTCCTTGACATCAGGCATGATTTGCTTCTTCAGAGAAGTTCAATTTTCACGGCTACTTGAACAAAGCACACAGCTTATATAGTAGATGACTTGAGGAATGAAATCTCTAATCACAAAACACTTCCCTTACCATTTACCTTTAGCTAGAAAATATAGAAAATGGCTACAAAGCAAAGAAGGTAAAAAACACTCCTGGCATTTTCCACTTTATTATTTTGATTCTACCATACAAAAACCTAAATGTTTCTCTATTCACAAAACTCATTATCTCATTCCACTATTTATGACAATGACAGACCAGAAAAGGCAAAAGAAATATCAAAATTTACAGGAAGTAACTTGATTTACAATGACCTTGTTTAATTGTGTGCCCCCAGGAATGTATTTTATTTTTAAAACTGGTGTTAATTTACTTTTCCTTTGCAAGTCACTCGAGGAACATAAAACATACTTACATTACTTAAGGATTTGCTGATGTTCTTAATATCTAACTGCAGGATATTTCCAATAATAGGGAGAGGAGTGGGGCCAGGCGGGAGCTTCCCTTTCCTGGAGCTCTGTTTCCAGAGGGAAAGGAGAAGGAAAGAGGAGAGACAGAGCACCAGGACCACAGCTGGATCCATTGATACCCTCTTTTCTTAAGTAGATGACTGTGAGCATGAAATCTAAAGCTTTTATAACACTCCATGTTAGTTCAACTTGTGACTCTTTTGCATACAAAGTGACACGTCAGCTAGATCAGCTCTAATCTCTTCTCAGTGGACTTTGGCCTACTGATAACGATAAAAATAAAATGTTCTTTAATCATGTTATCCTTTTCACCAATGCTCCACGATGGAAATTCTGGTTTAATTCGTTATTAGTGGGGCCCAGGTATTGGTAATTATTTTAAGAATACACCAGAGATGATTTCAATATGCAGCCAGATTTAAGAAAATACTGAAGTAAATTATTTGATCCAAAAATTACTCAACATTCTAGATTCTCAGATCGATGACCTGTTGGGAATTTATGACTTTGTATTGCATTGCAGTGTATTCTGTGGCTTGTATATGAAGAATAGCTAATCTTTAATGCTTCATCAAAGACTACCATATTAAAATGTATAAAGACATTTTGATCAATCATAAAGTGGATATACAATGGTGGTCCCATGTATCAGTACCATATAGCCTAGGTATGAGATAGGCTATAATATGTAGGTTTGTGTAAGTACTGTAGAAGAGGGAAAAAATTTGCCCTATACTTCTAGGTTTTCTCGTCTGGTCTAAGAATTAAATTGACATGACACAGAATAACAGGAGAAAAAAACCCAAAAGTTTAATAACATGTATAGATGGAAGATACCCAGGAAAACCAAGTACTTGCCAAAATAGCCAAAGCCCTCACCTTAAATACCACTCACATCTAAAGACAAAAAAAGATGTTGGAGGGTTGGGAGAGGCAGGGACTTCAAATGGAAGGAAGGAAATTCACAAGTAGATGAAAAGTAGCAAATGTTTGGAAAACAAGTGTTTTTTTGGCAAAACAGAAACAGAAGAACATATAGGAAAGCCCAGCAAACAGCCTTTTCTAGGTTCCTCCCTGTCTACCACCTAGTTCGTGTTATGCTGTGATAGCTCACTTCCTGAGACAGGTTTTTTAAATCTGAATTCTTTTAGGCAGTTGAGGGGAAGGTAACAAAAACTTTCTGAGTCTTTTGTTTCTTAAAAATAATCAGCCTAAAATAATCTTCATGTTACAGAGATACATTTTGGCGTGGCAAATTTTGTTCCCCTTCAGTATACTCCATGATATTTGCACAGCAATGAAATTACCTAACATAGCATTTTTCAGAACACATCCCTGTCATTAAGTGATGCATGACTGTACCATAATTCAATAGTTCAGGATTTACCATAATCAGTAACTTCAAAGTAAATATTGAGTTAATAATTGCAGCACTAGTTTATTCATTTGGTAGTTAAGAACATTTCGTTTTGTAACATTTGAACTTGTGTGATCTCAGGTATCAGCGAATCCTTTATCCAGGACAGAGAAGTAGTAATTGGGTGATGGCTCACATCCCTAGACTCTGAAAGAAGTGCACTAAAGTATGTTGGATAAAATAAGTTCCATGGCTCTTTTTAGAGCTACGATTATATTACTGGACAGATGGTGTGTCTGTGCTGTCCTTCTTTCTGGGAAGGCTCTTCCTTGGCCCTTTCTCTTTTCGCAGATGAAAGAATCATAGATATTTTAGAGGTAGAAGTCATTTCAGAGATCCACTTTATTTTTACAAATGAGGAATTGGTGACTCAATGAGGTCAAATGTCTCCAACACATTAATAAAGATTTTTTCTTAGAGTCCAGGTTTCCAATTTTCAGTTCAGTGATCTCACACTTTGAAGAGATTTCCTATCGCTGCCCAGATAGATGGCCAGGATGGCATCAGTGTGATGCCCTCCATAGTCACAGAGTGACGCAAACCTCTGCTTGGGTAGAATTGTGAATTAGAACTGTTTCTTTTTAAATAAGCCTTTTCATTGAAGCATAATACAAGAAAGAAAGTTGCACACTAAATGTACAGCCCAATGAATTATCACACGAACATATACTGGGTAACCAACACACAGGTCAAGAAAAAGAATTTGTCAGGACCCCAGAAGCCCCTTTATGTATCCCCTACATACTACCTCCACCCTTTCTTTAAATGTGTTCTGTATTATGCCATATTTGAGTTTTGCCTGTTTTTTTAAAAGGATATCATATATTTTAAATAAAATGAATCTTATATATGGGTTTTTTTAGTAGCTAGATTTAATATTAATATTTATGTCTCTGATATTATGAAGTTTATTGTTGTACAAATAGAAGTAGTTAAGTTATGCTTTCTGCACAGTGTTTTATAATTGTTCCACAATTTATTTTTTCAAATACAATGTGATGGTCATTTAGGGGCTGCTACGAACATTCTTATACATATCCTCAAGGTAGCCTATTGTATTGCATTTCTCTTCAGTACATACCCATGAGTGTAACTCCTGGCTATGTATGTTTTCAGTATTAGTAACCATTGCCAACAATTGTCCAAATGGTTGAACCAATTTACAATTTTACTGTGAGAGTGCCAGTTGTTTCACTTCTTTGCCAACGTTTAGTATAGCTCTTATTTTTTGATTGTAACTGTTTGATGAGTGTGTGATAATTTCTCATTGCAGTTTTAATTTGCATTTCCATGAAGATTAATGAAGCTGAGCACTTTTTCAGATGTCCACTGGCAATATCAATTCTTTTTTTGTCTAGAGCTTGTACAGCTTGTATAACCTTGCTGGCTCAAATATATAATTTATAAGTACATATATAATTTTTAACAATCACAAATTTATAGAAGAGTCAGAGGTACATACAAGGAATTTCTTTTACTTTAAACCATTTGAGAGTAAATTTCTGACTTTATGTTCCAAAGACCTGAAATATGTTATTGTAACCATGGGCATTGTAGGACCATTTCAACTGACCCAATCTTATAAACAGAGTAATTAAGACTGGATTTTTGGGAACTGAGTTCTCTTGACCAGTTCAGGCCAGTTGAGACCACCAACTCATCAACTGGGCCTATACAAATGCCTAACAAGTGACCTTTTAGACATCAAAGAGCTGAAAACTCCACCCTCAGACCATGCTAGCACCACCATTTTGTCAACATGCATCCTATGAAGAGCCATGAAGCTTGACTATGCCTGTGGAGATCATCAATTACCTCACTTCTTTTTACCTCCAGTCATCTGTCTCCACATTTCAGATTGCCCTGCCCTTCATCCAATAAATTTTGCCTCAATAATTTTGCATTCAATAAATTTTGCACTAAAGAGACAGATCTGAGAGCGTACATCACCTGTCTCCTTGCAGATTGATCCGGCAAATAAAGCTACTTTTCTTTTCCAAAAGACTGATGCCATAATAATTGACTCTTTATGTTCACAAGGTAGTGAGCACTTGCTCCATAACAATTTTGGCAGCCATGAAGGGATTAGGTCCTGTGACCACCCGCCTAAGGCTCTGAAACCCCTGGCAGTGTGTGTGGTATCTTTGTAGACCCTAAGCAGCTGCCTAGGCAGTTTTGTCTAGAGGCTCGGCTGATTGGATTCTCATTTCCCACCCTGGTTCTCCAGGCCCCTTGGTGTTCTTTTGTCTTTTGGGAGAAGAAATCCCTGAGTCAAGACATATGTTGCGTGAGTGACATAGTTAAAACAGGCATGCGCATAAATTGTCTAATAATCTCATCAGGATTGTGGGTTAGAGTCCCCACTGGGGATATTTTTACTGGCTTAGAGTCCCAAGGCTAGAATTGTGGGTTCAGGTCCCACTCCATGGGAGATAATTTAAAAAGGTAACAGCCACTGGGGCACTCAAAGGATTCAGTTAGAACTTCAAACTCTGGGGTAGGGTCCCAGAGGACCCTGGATTAGAGTCCCACAGTATTGGATTTCTGTGTCTGTTTATGTTTGTCAATGCCTGACTGTTTTATTTGTTAAAATTGTGTTTGAGGACTAAGTTTCACAGTGACCATAACAAACTATCTCTAGAAATTACCTTGTTTGTTATGGACAACTTGGAAAGTCCCCCTAAAATGGAAATAACTGTAAATAGCTGTCAAGATAAACTGGGATAATTTAAAATTATTATGCAATTTGGGCTCTCTTTGAACCTGAAAACTGAGGAACAAGGAAAATCTTTAATCTTTAAAGAGTCAAGTGCTCCAACTTCTGGCACAATTGCTCAAAACCTAAAAGTTCCAGAAGCTGTAAATATTTACAAAGAACTGCAAAATCTTACCAAGCTTGTTTTATGTCCTGAGGGCTTGGCTTGATAATCTTCAGGTTGGGGGGGGTCCCAAAAACACAAAAATCTGGGTTGCACTTCCTTTTGTGGCTAAGAGTCCTACCCAACTCCCATCAGCCTTAGGAGAATTACATTGGCCATTAGAAGGAATGTTCTGATTAGATAAGAATTTAAAAGTGCACTTAAAAGAAAAGGAATCTCCATACTGTTTTTCATAGAGGCTGCACCACTTTGCATTCCCACCAGCTGTGTATGAGGGTTCCTGTTTCTCCACATCCTCTCCAACACTTGTTTTTTGTCTTGGTGATTATGGCCATTCTAACAGGCATGAGGTGATATCTTAGTGTTGTTTTGATTTGGATTTCCCTGATGATTAGTGATGTTGAACATCTTTTCATGTGCCTATTGACCATCTGTATATCTTCTTTGGAGAAGTGTCTGTTCATTTCCTCTGCCCATTTTTTTGATCGGGTTGTTTGTTTTTCTGTTGTTCAGTTGTGTGAGTTCTTTATATATTATGGAGATCAACCCCTTGTCAGATGTACGTTTTGCAAATATTCTCGCGCAGCTGGTGGGTTGTCTGTTCATCTTGATTCTGGTTTCGTTTGTCTTATAGAAGCTCTTTAATCTGATAAAGTCCCACTTGTAAACCAACACATGGACAGAGGAAACTGTATTGTGGTTACCAGGGGCAATGGGGGTGGGGGGTGGGCACAAGGGGTGAAGGGAGTCATATATATGGTGATGGACAAACAAAAATGTACAACCCAAAATTTCACAATGTTAAAAACTATTAAAAC